GCAGCTATGCTTCTTTGAGGTGTTTACCAAGTGACCCAAAGAGTGACTTCAGCACAGGAGGGTTAACATTTGAAATTTTCGAAACGAAACTTCCATTATTTTCATGAGTTCCCATTCACGTTTCCCTGTCACAAAGCTCAATGCATTAAGCAAAGCTACACTGGTTCCCGCCGTGCTGCACCCATGCAACAGAACGTGTGATAGAAATGTAGCAGCCAGAACCAGTCTATACATGTACATGTACATTCCATTTGATTATTCTACATCATCCTAAAGCTGCAGGTCGAAAAAATATTGATGTTGCAAGAGGTTTTTTGCAAGTTAATTCACAGAGCTTGGTTTCTTATTTATGTAAGAGTTTAATTTAAGGTTGTTTTGCTTGTACTTGAAGCAAGCGTGTTTCTACAAATTTCCTGCTGTGGTACAAAGTTTATCACCCGCTGGTCTGGATGCATCATGTAAGCCTGCCACTTGATACATGGACAGTTTTCCCTCGTGATTGCCTGAGTAGCACTGTGTGAATTGTCCATAATTCTTGTGAATTGTCGAGTGTAGAAATTTTTACATAGATTAAGACCAGTGTTTTCACTTTTTGAGATAATTTTGGAAGCTGTCGTCTCTATTCATGGCATTCAATTGGCACAAAAAATTGACCCAAACCCCCCCCCCAAATTTTGGACATACCGACCCTATTTTTGAGAGGCATGTAATCAGAAGCACAGTTATTTTTTGTTGGCCTAATGAAAGACTTCATGCATGCAGTAGGCCTAAGTTAAGTAACCATGATAGGCCTAATCAAGGATTCTGTGAAATCATGGGTACGTGTTGATCCAATTCGGGCAAGCAAATTTATGGCATAGCCTGCCGGATCAGGCAAGCTAATTAAAAAAATTGTCACAGTCTGCAGACACCCGAAGTACCCTTGGACACTACAAATCTTTACAAAAGAGAAAATCCCAATTAGCAACTCCTTTTTATTTAAACAATTGGAAAAAAACACACATGGCCATGGGTGACGCCTATATAAGCTGTGGACCTTTTGGGGTTGACGTGTGCATGTGCGCCATAATTTTTACTAGGGCAGTTGAAAAGAATGAAAATACTGATGCCGAAACCCAACAGCTGTGCCTCCCTACATATTTTATGGGCATCATAAATAAATTGCCCGGTTGAAGAATTTGTAGGACAAAAAACCCCGCCCCAGCAGCTTTTTCGGGTAAGAAAATCCACATTAGCTGGTTGACAATAACAACAGCAAGAGAGGAAGGCTGTTTTTTGCTTCCAGTGAAATGAGCAACATTATTAAGGGTACTCGTTACATTCATTTGAGCTGGTTGAACATCTGTTTCTCTATTTCCAATGTCACATTTCACCAGTGCAGTGCTTTAAAAATAAATGTCAAAATGGACCTTTATTTCTCTGTTAACCTTGTGTCCAATTTTTCTCATCGTTTTTAAGGTATTTTATGAGCAAAACTGTGATGTCGTCCCAGAAAACCTCAGTGTTTCCTAACTTACTGGTAGTGTACCGGTACGTCAGGAAACAAAAGCGTAACTCTTTAAAGAAAAATTATTTGGCCTAAACACGGTGTACATGTAGAGTTCAGGGGGAATGCTACATGTACACGCACAATATACATGTACATACATGTACATGCACACACAGGCTGTTCATCATTTGTACATGGTGAAAAATTCCGAGTAAACTTATTAATAATCTTTCTCTAACAATAGCAGACAAATCCAGATTTAATCTGCAAAATTCACAACATTGGTTTCAGCTCCGCACTTTGTAACCAGTGACATTCCACATCTGGCCATATATAGTGTGCACGATGGTCAGTCAAAATAAACCTAACTGTGCAGCTGTCGCTGGGTAATTGCAACCTTGTGTGCATACGTTGTACACATAGAACACAAATGAAATTACTGACTAGCTTTGTGAATGACTCAGGATATTTACATACGATACATGTTCAAGTTTACATGTACTGGTATATGGACAGTACATGTAGCACGTACATTTCTCAATCCTCCAATTATGTAATATTTGATGCAACCTTGGTTATTTAGCGAGTTGATGTGAGAACTAATTGCATGCATGTACGTAATCTTTTTAAAAAAATGAAAAGGAAGTATGGATGCGAAATTAATTTTATGTTCATCCTTCCTGGTCTTGTGGCGGGCCTTGTAAGAATATGTGTAGGTCTTAGATGGGCAGATGGGGGGGGGAGCATGGCATTGACTATGTGACATCTGGTGGAGGTGCGAAAATAGTGTTTCACCCCTGCAGTTGAGACTATACATGTATAAAATGATAATTGAAGTTAAAGGAAACTGTAAGAATTAGGATGCACTCTCCGTATAAAGTATGCTGTATTTTATTACTAGATAATTATTCCAGTCTAATTCTACATGTCCTGCTGTATTTTGGGCCACAGTCTAATTCTACATGTCCTACCGTATTTGGGCCATAGTCTTATTCTACATGCCCTGCCGTATTTGGGCCATAGTCTAATTCTACATGTCCTGCTGTATTTTGGGCCATAGTCATTTCACTGATACATGTAGATGTATGCACAAGTGATGATATTTGGGGTAAGTGTACAAATATATGTATACATATTTTAAAGGGTCCATTCCAAAATTCCTGAACTGTACAGTGCTTGTCTAAATGCCTGATGTCAAAATAACCTTATAGTACTATGTTGAGAAATCTCCATTACATCATACATGTAAATAGAGAAAAAACAGTGCACTTAAAGATTCAAACCTAAAAGAGGATTATTTGGATGCAGTTAATTTTGTTGGTGTCCATTTCAAGAGGCTCTTTGTCAAGAGACCGTTTGTCATTTCTCAGAGTGCTGCTACAAGTCATCTGATGGGCACATGTGTTGTTCTTGTAACAGTGTCACCCAGGTAGACCATGGCAGACGTCAGTGCTCTTGTGTCTCAACTGACCACGCTGAGTGGCAACCTAAAGACGGAGGTGGACAAGCTGGATGAGGTCACCGTCAAGAAGCTGAACGATGCCATCATCGTCTTGCAGGGCGTGTCCAGGAAAGCCAGCGGAGGTGGGACGCTAAAGCCTTTATTTGTGTAGACTTTATTAAAATAGAAAGTAAGGTTAACAATTCATTTTTGCAACAGAAATTAAAAGAAAGGTAATTTCTGTACAAATCAGTAGTCATCTACAGTGACGAGTAACTTGTAATTTGTGGTTTAACCTACCTGAGTGTTTAAGCTGAATTTTGAAAAATATTGAAAGGGAGGTTTGGAACATACACGTGTATGTATGCCATAAAAAGTACATGTATAGCACCATTCAGATCAACAGTTAAAAATTGTTAAAACAGATTCAGGATACAAGATAACAAATGGCTTCTTTGTGAATTAGGCCTGTACATGTATGTCAGCTGCAGTCATTAAACTCAACTGAGTCCCATAACATCCAATGGAATCCATCAGTTGAATATGATAGGTCTGCAGTCAGTGATACAGTTCATGTGCCATTTATGCATGCCTCCAATCCAATTAGTAAACATGCATATACATACAGGACCTATATGGATCTTGCCTCTACCAACATGCATTTTGTGCTGTTAAAGTGAGCTCAGGTGCTTGTCTTGCTCATATTCTCGTCATGCAAAACAGAGCAGGCGTCGCTCAATGTCCATGTCTTTCATTCTGTATCATACAAGTAGCACATTTTGGATGTTGTACCAGTGCAATGCACCGTTAATATGGCTCAGTCTATTGCAGAATGGAACCCTGTAGTAATTGTGTGTGTTAAAGTCCTCCATAATGGGGCATGGCATATTTTATGGAAACGTGAATAAACTCCATACTGGAACTGTAGAAGGGGTGTTGTGGGGTTTGCTTGCAAGAGCCAGGGTTTGTCAGCTGCCTGCGCAAGTTTATATGATTGTTGCTGACGGCATGCATCACATTTCCAGTTGAATGGGTACAAAAGGCAAAGTAGGACATGCGTGTAAAGGAGAATGTGTGCAGTCTGTTCTTACACCACATATGAAACAGATGGTAGGGAAACAGTGCAGAGGCAGTGACCCAGACTTCCCATAATGAAGACAGTGTGAAGTAAATCAGTGTTACTTGATCCAGCCTATGCTTAGAAACATTATTGCCTCTCTGCAGACACTCCTCCCTTTTTGACTGCCTTTGATGACTTCATCGATGAGCACTTCTCCAAGTACCTTCAGCTGTCCAAGGAGATCGGCGGTGTTGTGTATGAGCACGTAAGTCTCAAACCGAAGACAGTCCACGTCTCTCCCACATGAACGTCTTCCACAATGACGTCCTTCCCCTAAAGTTTTTTTGAAGGGGGGACTCTTTCAAAAAGTTCCACCGTTCAACAGTGTGTGGTAAAATGATGATTGGAAGTATCATGTGTGCTGAAACAAAAATAGTATTCCCCTAAGTAAAGTTGTGATCTGTGGGAGTCTTAATTTCAGGGTTCTTGGGTCGAGATGTACACCTATGTAGCCTGTGGGTTAGGTTTTACACTTCTGATTGTGGTTTTTTGGAGGGGAGGGAGGACTCAAATTAAGCAGCCGTAATGGCTGGATTGGAGCCGTGTTTTGCCCATGGGGCTGTGATGTTTTTAAGGAATGTTTCAGGGTCTGGGGCCAATTTCATAGAGCTGCTTAAGCACAAAATTTGCTTAATTATGCGTGAGAAAACATTGCTTGATAAATCAGGTAACCAGCCAAAACTCCATGTGATGTATATTTTCTTGGGATCGTATTTAACTGTCTTTTGGTTAGTAATGGTAATCAGGTAGAGTTTGAGCTGGTAACCTTTGTTTTTTAAGGAAGTTTTTTCACGCTTAAGCAAATTTTGTGCTTAAGCAGCTCTGTGAAATTGGCCCCAGATGAGCAGGGATAATACCAATGTATCACCTTGAGCACCAGCTCTGGTATATGTGTGTGGTGTGGAAATACTGCTACCCATTATTGTTTAGGGCTGTGCCCAATATCTGAATATTTACTCGATTATCAAATATATTTGAATATTTTTTTCCAAATTTGCATTTGCATTTTAAATGCAAAATTCATGAAAAGGAAGGGAGAATGTTTGAAATGAGAAAAATGTACTGTGGAGGCGTGTTTCAAGCAGATTCAGATGAAAAGCGACAGAAATCTTACGATTCAAAAAGTAAACTGTTCATTAAAAAATGTAAAAGAAAGAAATTTTCTACAGGATTGTTTGTCTCGTAAATCTTGCTAAATCGTGGCTGGAGATGCTCCTAGACATGGGAAGTGATTGTAGTGATTATAAAGTACAACTCTGTGTGTTATTGCAACTGATTTTGTATATGGTTTGTTCATCAACAATCTGCCCGTCAGAACGACTGAATAGTGGTATATTCGATCAATTGGAGGTGGAATATTAAGATGAATTGACCCATCCCTATTTATGTTATTCACCCTGAGCTGAAGTGCACCCTCACTGGTGAAAGAAAGACAGATGGGACTAAGTTTTCCAACCGGGTTCTTGCACACGTTTGGCGTGCATGTGAAGACCACACATCCGAGACTAAAATCGTTGCGCGTACTCAGCATGCTTCGTGACAAACGTGCATAAACTTGCGCACCTGTATCAAAGGACTGTCAATTTCATATCAAAGGACACCCTCTTTTGTTCCTGCTGGGAGCAGATTACTAATGAGAGGAGCTAAAAGCTGACAGCGTTTATTTTCCAGATGGATGAAACTTGTTGGCCAACAGGCCAAAAACTGGTAAATCTCCTCAAAATTGGGACTCACTGGGAAGACAAACTGGGAAGAAATGGATTTCAAAAAATTATGGGGCTCAAAGTGTACATTTTCAAACGTTCAGTTGCACAACACAGTTATTGTGCCTCTTCGCTCCACAGGTCTCAACAAGTGAAATTGGTTCAGAAAAAAAAAGTCTTACAGCACCATTAGCGCTTTGCCCCAGTTGACCCTAATCGGTGATTTTACAGACCTAGGAGCTGACACATTCATTCAGCGTCAGTGCGCTTACATGTGCAACGTATGTATACATGCATATCTTCTTGTACTGACAGGCACAACTGGTTGAGAAATGCTACAGCTTGCAGAGGGACTTCTTGCAAGTTGCTGCAAACAGCCAGCGACCACCACAGGTTTGTATAGGCCATTCAGCAAGGGTGGAGAATAGATCATGTTCACGGACGTATCTGGTGACCAGAATAGGCAAGCCATTCCTGCGGTGGTGTGTACCACACTTGCGGACAGGTAGTCCGTGCGTTACATGTGTAATTGCACTTGAGTGCGATGCCTCTGCAGTAATGGCGTGTCCTCTGATTGGTTTGTATATTTTACATTAATGTTCACCTGTTTCATACGTGCATAGGCTCATATGTTTATAAGTGATACATTTGCAAGTTCCTTTTGTATCATGGTAGGTCACTTCCTTCAACAAAAGCACACCCTCCAGCAAGGAGTACCAGAAGTTGAGGGGGTACTTACCGGGGTTGTAGTTGACTTCACGATTCTCTTCACAAGTTCAGTTACAAGTTCAGTCACAAGACCAGTCAAGTTAACTGTTACAAAGGAATTCTTTTGTCACAGTTCATTTGAATAGCTTATGACTTGGCTCAAGACAGGATGACTGTGATGGACTTGCACGGTCCTGTGATGGACAGACTCATCTATAACGCTGGAATGTAAACAGTCTCTCTACTGAAAGTTGAGCTTTGATGCCTTGCTCTTCAGCTTTTTCAGTTGTCTGAAATTCTTTCCCGTAGTTGGGAGAACTTGCATTTAGTCAGGACGACCCTTTGAAAAGCAGTTCATTTTTGTTGGAATCTGCAGAAGGATTACGCCAACTTTTTCAAGCCGCTTCAAGTTGCGGTGGAAGGGATCATTGAGTTTGCAGATAAGAACCGTGGAAATAAGGAGAGGCAGAACCACTTGATGACTGTCAAGGAGGGCATCGGCTGCATTGGATGGGTCACGGTGGTGAGTATGGGCCTTTGTGGTCAGTTCATTAGCATGGATTTAAAACTCATGGCCATTCTGAGGGATAGAGGTTTGGCTTGTTGGGTCACTCTGGTGAGTGGTCATTACGGTGAGATTGTAAAGGAATGTAAAATGAATGTGGTGAAAGCAGATGTGCATTGACTGGGCCACAGTGGTGAGTAGCAGTTAGGATGAGTTAAATTGTGAGATTGTTTGCAGAGTTTGGGCGGACTAATGAGTATGGTACATGTAGGCAGTGGGTCTGATCGGAAAGGGGTTCGGGCACTGTGGTGACTAGACGCTGGTGATGAAATGTATGAAGTGAGATTGTTTAGCAAAGATAGATGGAATTAGCCTGCTGTGTAAGGCTACTGTAGTGTGGTATTTTTGTTAGCATTTGTAGGAGAAAGTCAAGGTTTGGGTCACTTTGGTAAGTTGGAAATACGAATCAGTAACATCAGTGAGGAGATATCATTTGACAGCATTTGTGAGTTTGTTCAGGCAAAAGGTTTGGTTGTAAGTTAGATATCATTCAAAGACTTAGCAAGTGGGATATGGTGAAGTATTGGAAACTTCTAGACACTGGTGGCAGTAGACATATGTAGTGATCCTTGATCAAGGTGCTGTGCATACCCAGAACACTGCGTGCATTCTCAGAACTGGTAAAAAGACAGGTATGTTTGTCGCTACTAAGCATGTCAAAGTCTGCCGTTGAAGAAATATGGATTTCAAGAGCTTCAAAATTGTGGACACCTATTTTTCTGTCACAGGAGCCCAAGCCTGGACTTTATTTGAAGGAAATGTATGACCAGTCCTTGTTCTATGGCAACCGTGTCATCAAAGAATTCAAAGGAAAGTAAGTGGGCTGTTTCACAAGAAACATAAGTCCAGAGGGGCATTTTGCAGATGTCTCCTTACGCTCTTAGCCATGAGATGATGTAGTTTGCAGGAACTTGAAAACCAGCTGATTATACTTTCGTCTGAGTCAGGAAAGGACAGAGCTGGTGTGCTTTAACTTGGGGGAAAAAAGTAGGATGAAGCATTTTTGTGAAAACTGATTTCAGTTTTCCAGCAGATCAGCTGCTGTTAAGTTCAAATTTAGTTCATACTGATAGTGTCATTACATCGGTGCTAAGTTTAAAATAAAGGTCATAAGACAGCTGAGATCCAGGGGGAAGGGGAATAGCAGTATTCAACCCTCACACCCCATCTCTGGTATTGAGGTAGTCCAAAGTAACATGGCTCTTTTAGGATTAATTATGTTACTTCTCATAGGTCTGATATATCTGTTTGAGGTCCGCAAAATGGCATCAGGCACTCTTTTGAGTCGGATCTTGGGAGATTTCAGATCTTGGCAAAAATGCTCAGGCATCTGGAGTCTAAGCATTGACATGGGAGGCTATTTTGTGAACTGTCGTCAACCTTGTGATTTGGCCCTTGACAGAGACGACAAGCAGGTGGAATGGATGCGATCGTTCACCAACTCCATCATGAGGCTCAAGGACTACGTGGACAATTACCTCAGCACAGGCCTGCAGTGGAACCCACAGGTAAAAACCAGGTTTATATGTCAGAGATGTTGCCCTGGTACTGCAGAACTGGAAGTCCAAAGGAATTATTCAATATACTCAGCTGAAGCCAGGTCCAAAAAAACGAACCAGCTGACACACCCATAGCAACATTCCAGTTATAATGGAATTGTTTACGATTGGTAAATTGTAATGCACATCAGCATGGGAGGCCTGCTGCCTTGTAAAAAGAGCCCAGATTGTGCGGTGTTACATAATTTTTTTTTTTTTCACGATCCTTACACAGTGCACTGCTGACATAGGGGCCAGATTAGTGTGACAGCGGTACTGGCATATCCCTCCCCCACAACACTAGGCACAAACCCTAGACACCGGTATGCACAGTCTCCCACATGTGAGCACCTCCTCACCGTATCCTAACTTTGCATCATTCGTACATGGAAACATTCCCAAATAAGTCTTGGTATCAGACAGGACACTCCTGTATCTGTCTCAAGCTGAAGTGCACCCCCAATTGGCGTAAGACAGACAGGTGGTTACAAGCGAGTTCTTGCACACATTCTCCATGTACGCAAAGACCATACATGCTGGAATAAATTAGTCATGCATGCTCAGCGTGCTTCACATCAAACACGTATATATACTTGCGCGCCTATGCGGTGAGTAGCAAAAAAACCACACACTCTTTTGTTCAGCTTGGAGTGGATAAGGAAATCCACTTCAGCACATCAGGGTCTCACATGTCTGCTGATCGTGACAAAATGATGCATGAAAATTCATCTACTTTGGCAAACAGTTTTAGACGTAATTGTTTGCATGTCCAACTTTGAGACTGCCCCACTCCATCAATCTGGACATAAATTCATCGTCTTTGTGTCTGGAGAATTACCATTTACACCCAGGTTTTCTTTGATATGTACACGTCGTAATTACACTGGGATTCGTGGAGGTTTTCTTTTTCAAGGTCGGTGCTGGTCCCAAGGCAAAATGTCTGCAAAGAAACAAATTTGCTGAAAAAAAAACCCTTGGAGAATCCACCTTGTTAGCAGAGCGTAACTAATTGGAAATTGCTGCTTCAAACTTCTCCCATGATTGGAAAGCAGGTCACGTGTAATTGTTCCTTTGTCTGGGCCTGGGGTGTGTGCTAACGTGTGGGAGACTGTGCATACCGGTGTCTAGGGTTTATGTCTAGTGTTGTGGGGGAAGGTTATGCCAGGATCAATATCCTATCGCATTTGGCGCAGGATTCCGAATCCCACCGGCTACAGCTATTGTCCTAATAGTTGAAAATATTCCCCCCCTCAAAGAAAATACTAACTTAATTTTCAAAAGCACAGGTGACAGACATCCTTGGAAGCAATATTGTCTGAGGGATTTGAACAAAAAAGATTTACAAAGAGAAAGTTACTGAATACTTTTAACAAAACAGTATAGAATGCAAAAAAAATAAATTCTGCCCGTACTTACTGGGTTCTGTAGAAATATCAACATTGTACACATGCTTGAACACTGTGTCACTATTAAAGCTGATTGTGTAGGCCCAAGGAGTGCTGAAATGTACGGTAAGATTCTAAATATTAGCGCTTTGATGACTTCATAGAAATATCAAGCCGGCCCACCAGGAAAACATGTATGTAGATGTTTCTCAAGAGTGACAAAGATGCGTCACTATCATGCTCTCTTTAATCTATCTTGCTAAGCTCTCAGAATGGAGACATTCACATAAGATAACATGATTTTTTCCAGTGAAAAAATGATAGGGTCTATAGTTTTAGTGATATGTTGAGTGCATTTTCGCCTGTTCTCCAGTGCTGTTTTCCGAATTGTAATGACATCATCTCCATGTACTTTGTGTTGAGAATCAGGCCATCTAGGAGAAGTCCACAGCAGTAACTCTCTTTTGTGTGTGTGTGTGTGAAAAAAAAGGGTTACTCCTCGGTATATTTCCGTTCATAGCTTTTTCAGCATCTCTTTTGGTATCAAATTGCAAAGGTGCAATTTGCATTCTTGTTTTTACATGTACATGTAGGTCTAGTGATGAGACCAAAACGTGTCACAAACTCAATTTTGATTGCTTGTACTTATGAAGGGATTATCTCTGGGTTGTCAGAAGGGAAATACCAGTAGAATATGGTAAAATGAATCACCAAGCCAAGAGTAATAATTCTAATAATAATGAATTTTAAATGCACAAGCTTCAGCAACATGCTGCTCGACAGCGCAGTACAATTTAACATTCCTGCTAAAACATGTTTATATAAATACATATAAAATCACTAAAAATTTACAAAGTCATAAAACACATTAAAACAAGGAAAATTAAAATTAAGATAATATTACAATAAGGTCAGACGAAACGAAACAACCACCAATCAAAACCACCCGCCATTCATGTTTATGTCTGCTAAAGTATTGTCTTTAACAACTTGTTGCCGGTACTGGAACCGTATTCTTTATACGCGTGGCCGGGGTCTCTGAAAACGAACAAAGAGAACTGGGCCCTGTAACAAAAGACTGTACTCGTAACATGAGACCAGGCTGCTGGGCATTACCAACATTTTTTCACTCTCAATAGTGGAGATAATCCAGCCCTATTTTGAAACAGTGTACCATGGTTTGGGAGATTCAGCGCAAGCGGATTACCACCAGGGAACAAAAGCGCTCCACCACCACCGCATCGATGAGCCACACAGTACCGCTGCACACTAATCTGGCCCCTATTGAAAAGAAGTCAGCAGTGCACTGTGTATGGATCGTGAAAAAAGAAAATTACATAACACCGCACAATCTGGGCTCTTTCTACAAGGCAGCAGGCCTGGCTGAAAGACTCCAGCGTCAATAGGTGTTGTGTGTCAGATTAGAGTAAAAATCAGAGAGTCCTTTGTGTGGGCATAAGGTCCAGTAAATGATGATACGAATTTTCAAAGAATTAAAGAAAAAAGAAAGAAAAAATTATCCCGTCCCAGCATCATCAACATTCATAATGCCCCTGGCGCAAAGTGGTTAAAACCATTTTAATTATAAAATACTGCCAGTAACAGATTTTGCGTAAAATATATAGTATTTTCACATCATATTTGGGACATATTTGGGATGTTTTTCATATATGGAAATTTACATTAGCACATTAGAATCCTTGAAACACCCATAGATGGGCGAGAAAAGGCTGTAACTCATAAGACAAATGAGATAAAGGTTTGTATTTACAGATTGCATCAAAAAGAGAAGGTCAATTTCTGGGGCCCTGTAAGGAGGGTCTGCTTCAAATGTTTAATTGGGACTGTGATGGATAATGCTGTCCCTGTTAATGGACTGCCTTCTACATGTAGGTCTCAAATTGAAAGTCACTTGGTCATGGCTGGTTGACCATCTGGCGTATTGTGTGTTGTTGACCAGTTCACTGGTCAAGGGCGCAGACAGTCACTAAAATCAATGAGGAAGGACACAGAAGGAGTTGCAACTCATGCACTTCAAAGTGTTCAATGATGGTCGCTACCGAGTCAGACGAATAAAAGAAATTTGCCTGATTACTGCTTGCATCTTAGCCGGACAAGCAGGGCGTGTAATATCCTAGCAATACTTGTAGTTTTTGGCTGGTAATAAAATACAAATTATCGATGCGACCAGGAAATATATAGAGAAAAATTCCTGATATTTGACCTACTTTTGCCATCGTAAATAACCTTTTTAAATATTGATACACTGTCCCATTATCCATGCAAAGTTTGTAATTTTATTCTCCTCTCTCCAATACATCAGTGTTCAAAGACTTGGTATGAATTTGGCTAAGACTGGCCAACAAAATGTTCACTACTACTGGAAAGCTCACAGCGAGTGATCGTGAAATTTCATAAAATAGGCTTTTGTACAAACGCCACAATAAAAATGATTCAAACGAAACACAAAATCTTGTAAACAACTGGGCTATTTATTCCCAAAATAACTCCAGAAGAAAGAGTTATTAAGGGCAATGACTGCACATATAGATTTAAGGCACACAGCGTAATACAAGCAACTGCGCAAGCATCAATTTTGATGTTGTCATGAGATCATACTAAGGACCAACAAAGGCATGAACCCCAATACATGAAACTGCTGTTGACGACAAAAGTGGGTGTTTATTTCCAGGGGAAAAAAATCAGGTGTCAGCTACAAATCTGTAGTAAAGAGATGAGAAACTATAACTTGTTCTCCCACTGCTGTGAACCGAATCAATTAAGACCCAATTTTTAATATTTATTTCCAAAACAGACTGCCACTGTTGGACAACAGCAAGCCCCACCTTCAACTTTAGCGCCGCCCTCACAATTCACAGTTTGTCCCTTTTTGAAAGAAAAAAAGCTCAATCAGCATGCTACTCCGAAGTGGGCCTTCATGTATTGTGCCCATATTTGTTGTCAAATCCATTTGTTGTGGTCCCCAGACTGTGAACCCCCCCAAGTGCTTTACAAATCCATCCAGTGTGTCTGGTTTTAGTCCGACGTTTACCAGACTTATATTGTCTTCCCTCCCAATGACAGCTGGGGCATTGGGGAGGAAGACAAACAGGTTAGTCTTATGGCTGACTGGTTTTTCTCCGGGCAAAACCGTGAGAATTGGATGTGGCATTACTAATGGTTTGGATACTGAGGGTTGATGAAGGAGAAACTTGTCGGATGAGTGGGTGTTTTTTGGGGGGATGAGGGTATAGGGAGTAAGGTATTGAAGAGGACAACCTGAGCCATTTGTAGTTCTAATCCAAGGGATATCCTTTGGTCTGTGGTGTTTTTTAGTAGTGTAAGCCCCCTCTAAGTGATTTTCGCTCCTTTCAATAATGTTGTCAACATCTTTTTTACTCTTGATCCACTGCCACCAAGAGGGGTGTCTGAATAATAATGGTAAAGATAATTGCTTCAGGCAATAGAGCGTTCAATCTGTCTCCCAGTGAGATTCTTCTTTCCATTGCACTAGTGGGAAACATGCATTTCATCGTATCAGTGCTGAAAGGTCTTTATTGAAAATATTGTTTAAACCATATGCTGCCGGGTTTAATTTGAAGTTGCATGACGTATACCCGGTGGATTTTCAAGATTTTTCATTTTTGATATTCGTCAAAAATTCATAACTTCATTTATTGGACATTTACACCCACACGAATGACTGTTTGGTGGCTACTCTAATCTGACAGGCAGCCCGGCCTGCTTCCTTGTAAAGAGAGCTCAGTGCAGTGTTACATAATTTTCCTTTTGTTCCTGAAACTGGCCCAGTGGGCTGCTGGCGTCTTTTCAAATGCGGACCAGATTAGCGTACAGTGGTATTGTATCGTTCATCCCTAGAGTGTTGGAGCACTTTTGTCCCCAGTGGTAATCCACTTGTGCTGAATGCTACAAACAGTGGTATAATCATTCAAAACAATGCAGATTTCCTCCGCTATTGACAACTGAAAAAATGTTGGCAATTCCTAGCAGCTTGGTCTTTTGTCCGATTTCGGGCACCCCGGCTATGTGTATAAAGCCAGTGTCTCTGAAACCGGGCTCCCCGCCATAAAGTGGTTAAACATGAATTTGGGGAAGAAATTTGGTTGAAATTTGAATATAATGGCCCCGAAACTAGTTTAAAACTATAATTCTAAGTAAAAAATGAACTTTTAGCCTGTTCAATAAAATATTTCTCTCATGCTAAGAGTGAGACCCTTAGAGAATTTTTGCCATAATGACTTTTTAGCCTTTTTTCTTGTTTTATACAAGGCCTGAATAAATCCTTTGTGAATTCTGTGCACCAGCCACCATGGTTATCCATGGGGTATATTCAACAGTCTGCTGTTGATATACTGCATAATTCATGACATGGGATCGACAACCCACCAATCAGATGTAGGGGATTTATTCATGTATTGTACAGACTCTCCCAAGCCTTTGTATAAGGGCGTCCAAACTTAATTCAGTGGTTGTCATAAATTTCCAACAGACCGTTTGACTCCAACCAAGGGAAAAAACCTTTTAGTATGCCACCAATCCCGTCTTGAATTTCTTACCAAGAATGAAATTGAGAAACACTGATAATCTAAAGAATTTGTGGGGATAAAGCAAGTCATTACCCCATTTCCTCCCCCCCCCCGACAGACTGACCCTCCCTAAAGACCAACAAAATAATGAGAACCAAAGAATTCAAAGGGGAAACCCCTTAAAGAGGTGTTTCTGGCAACACCTTAAAGAGGTGTTCCAGGCAACACCTTGAAGAGGTGTTCCTGGCATGCCCCGTAGTGTCAAGTATTAAACTCTATACCAGGCTTAATGTCATTTCAAACAGTAATGGTATGAATTAGAAAGGTGATAAGTAAATGAAGTACAATGAACTAGGAAAGAAAACAGGAGCTGTTTGTCTGGAAAGAAGACAACGAAGGTTGTTTTTTTCCAACCCTAGTTTGGGTTCATATGTGGTATGTTGACTTTCCCACAGTGATTGTTAGTTAATGCATGAGTAAGCGGCAGACTGCAAAATGTGTGTAAGTACATTAATGAGAAATTCCAAGTTAGCAACCGTGCCGGCTATCTTTTGAACTTTTTTTGAACGCATGGTTGATAATCCATTCTCTCGGCAAATGCCGCCACGGCTGTGACTCTGCTTCATCATCCCTTTGCCTGACACCTCCTTTCTGTTGTGTAGAGAACCCAGTCCCTGTGTCTTTTTCTTCTCCTAGTTGTCATAATATTTGTGGTACACTTTAGGAAACGGTGAGAATATCTCCCCGCAGCCCCTGGGCATTATCGATGTTCAATTTTTGTCACAGACTTGGTTTATCGATAAAATGCCTGAATTTCAACAACTAAAGCAAGTGCATGTCAAATTCAGATGTCGAACCAGCTCAGGTGGTCTTCCATCCCACAGTTGAACCCATCCACCTGTTTCAGGATTCTCAGCATCCACCTTGACCGCACGAATGGGTATCCCTTAGGTCCCCTTTCAGAAGAGGAGCAGAGAAACTGCTCTTGAGGTCTCGAACCGCAAATCAGAATTGATACAAATAAAAACTAAGTTTGTCACTAGGTGACTGTACATTCTTGTAAATACCCTAACTGAACGACAAACAAGTGGTCCTTTTTGAAAGTGTGTAAAGATAATTTTGCTAATTTATCTCTACCTATTCATGTCATCCACTTGTAACTTAAAAATGCGTAAGCCCATCCTTGTTTTGTCGCTTATTTGGAATGTTGAGATATTTGGTTTTAGAAGTTTTCAGCTGTTCTCTTTTGAAATGAAGCCTCACAAAGAGGTCTTCAATTTATTGCTTAGAAAATTCAATCAAGTACTTGATATGTCAATTGACTGATCAAGCCACTGAATGTAACACTCTAAGGAGTGATGCACAGAGCTTACATGTATTGTGTCTCAGGCCAAGCCTTTGTATGACTAGCCCCGCCCAGTGGGCAGTCCCACATTTGTGCCTGCCCACCTGTTTAAAGATTTCATACCTAACCTTGACTGCATGTAATTGGCATCCCTTATCAAGTTGACAATCACAATGAAACTGTATGCTGGATACATAAAGCACAATAGCAAAAAGGGCATTGGTAAAAGCGGAGTTAGATCGTTTGAGATCAACTTTTTTTTTTCAAACTTGAGTTCAATTGAACAACCAGCCTTTCTTGTGTGAATTTTGGAGGTCCGTGCCTGGAGCAGCATTGCCCCTCTCAATTCAAACCTTGAAACAACTTCATGCATCATTTAGTGCAAATTAAAAACCCCAGTAGAGAGGAAAGCTGGCACGGTAATCTAAAGTCTGATGTCAGGCCACCCGTTGTGGATTCGGACCACTACCCATGTTAGTGACTAGTTGGCTACACGACAATTAACAAAAACTTGAAATCTTTAGCCTACTTTTTACTTAGTGTGATAGTCGATCTAGCATTGTGGACCCACACTGACTTATCGTTTGCCTACGTGCCGGGACTTGAGTTGTCCAACTGGAAAAAGTCCAGCAGCGCTTTGTTAATTGTTTACAGAGATTGATGAAGCTTATTAGCAATGCATGATCACTCAGCTTTGTTCCGGGTTCATCATTTCAAAAAGCAAAAGAAAAAAACAGCCCGACCTTGCCCGAGCTGCACGTAGTCGCAGTTTATTGTTACTGCTTGGTGGGGGGGGGAACAATGTCACCCGGTCAGGCACCACAGTGCATGGAAACTTCCATCCAGTTTACCCACTTACTGACACTGTGATTGGGACGGTGTGCATTGTGGGGGGATATATATGTGTGAAGTGTTTGAAATCTCTTGTGTGGACCAGAGAATGAAAGGTCCATACAATTTAAGGTTTGAATATGTTTTGTAAACTTGTACCATGCACACAGGTCCACAATATGTTTCCCCTTTAAGAGAAATCAGTTTCAGAATTATTTTAGGGTCAGGGCTATCTGTAACAAAACAAATATGAACAGTCAAGGAAATCATTAAAAAATAATTCAGCTTTAAAGAGAGGAAGACGTGGATGAACTCGGACTTTCAATTGTTCCTTCAACCTTGTAGGTCTCCTCAGTTCTTGCACCTGTCCTGCATTAGTCCTCACCTGCTATGAGTTCCCTGGAAGGAAGTTGCTTAATCTAATGAGATCAGACGGTTGATGAAATGAGTTTCCCACTTAATCCAACTTGGACCAAGAGGCTGAGTTGCTGATGACTGGGACCTATGAAATGACTTGTCATATTTTACTGTTATTGTTGAATTCAACAGAATAAAACACCGCAGGGAAACTTTGTTCTCTGCAGTTATGAGTTGCCTGCTCAATTCAGCGGTACCCAGAGTTAAGTGCACTGTTACTTAGCTGCTGAATGCAACAAACTTCAACAGGAACACGTCAAAGGAATTGACTGCTGAATCCAACAGCAGTGACCAAACAGTTTATTGTGGTTCGTGTGGTTAGGGTTTTCTTACGTGGTTCCAACTGCATATTATGTATGTTCCTGTTTTCATCAGAAATTTATCTGACAACTGCATTCTGTCCAATTGTCTCGCAGGGTAAAGTGGCAGTGGCCCCAGGGGGCAGTGCTGCTGCTGCCCCGCCACCCCCACCCCCAGGGGGAGCTCCCCCACCCCCTCCCCCACCTGCTGTGGAGGCCCCGGCATCAACAGGGGCCCCCTCTCAGGATGCAGCTGCGGCTGCTCTGTTCGCTGACATCAACAAGGGAGCAGACATCACCAAAGGTACGGTCACAAGTCTGAAAGTTACCCTTATCTGGCTTAACAAAGTGGTCGACAGCAGTCCAGACAGAACTTGTGTCAAAAGGCGTAGACCCATCGGGCCATGAAAAGAGAATGAGGAAAACTGTTACCAATTGTAAGTATCAGAAGGACCAAATACAGAGCAAACTGCCTGGATGTCTGTGTCGAGGAACAGAACGCTAGTGTTTTCCATGTATACAGTGTTGCGAGTTTAGGTTCTACCTGTCCGTTGACTTTTGTGTCAGTTGAGTCTTGTCTAGTTTTGATGGTGTCATCACAATGTCAATCATTTTGTCAATACCACATGACGTCACCTCAGTTTTTCTTATTACATGTGCTGGTATATCCGCAAACAAATTTTAAGGTGGATTAGATTTACTATTCTCTAGATATCGGAGCTTGAATTATACACTTTTAAGATGATGTCATATGATTCATGACAAAGTCCTCATGACATTACGTAGGGAAAACGTCTTTCTATATTCACATACAGAGTCTTTGGGAAATGGCAAGAAGAAAAGAGAAGAAAAAATCTTAACCAAAAGTCCAAGGCTTTTCCTCAACTCATGGTAAAGCCAAACATGTGACATGAACCTCTAAGCTGAGTGGGGAAGGGTGAAATTACATCCCTGGACCCCCTCCCTCCCTAAGTGAGAGCTTCAGTGTTACGTTTCATCCACCCACAGGTTTGAAGAAAGTCACCTCGGACATGCAGACCCACAAGAACCCAGCCCTCCGTGAAGGCGCCAAGCCATTCTCGGGAGCTGGCGCATCCGGGGTTAAGGCCGTTTCTGCCCCGAAGACTGCAGCCAAGGCTGTCACTAAGCCACCAAGACTGGAACTGATCGGCGGGAAGAAGTGGGAAGTGGTGAGTGAAATTGGGTCAGAAAAGAAGAAAGGTATTGTGTTTCTGGTAGCCTCGGCAAAGGTATTGTGTTTCTAGTAGCTTTGGCAAAAGGTGGCGGTACATTTGGAAAAAAAATCCTTTGCTGCACAATTGTATATTTGTAAACGTTCGTTTCTACTGTGGTCACTTTGATTACATACACAAATTCATTCTTTTTAAATGGCTGCTGGCATCGCCCACTTTTTAAGATGTTTGTCATGTAGCCTACCTTTTATTGGATTACCTACTGTGTCAGTTGTATATTTTGGATCAGAGATTTTGCTACAGAAAAATAATAGGTTGATTGGTTATCAGAAGCACACTGTTTGGGGTGGGGCTAAAAAGTGGGTTGTTTCACTTATTTATTCAAGGGAAGATTCTTGAAAATCTTTGCAAAATTACTGTAGCGCAAAGAATTTTTGGAAAGACTTGATTGATGAGCTACTCTTCGCTGTGAGAAGAAATCCCCAGAATTTGAATATTGGGGCTTATGATGGCTATGCATGTCACAAGTCAGTACGCTAAATAATGTTCCAACCAGAATATTGCTTGTTCCAATTGGAACGCTAGCTTTCCCTTCCCTCCAACTAGGCGTGTTCCCGAATAAGAAGGGTGGTCTGTGTGTGTTCTTTCTAATCCGGGAATTTACATGTTCCGAACCGGGATGAGGCAAATGCCACTGGGAACATTCTGCCATTCTGACGGAGCATTCCAGTGGGATCAGCGATGCTTCAACTTTTCAGACAGCACTACAAACAGCGCTTAATTTTTGTCATGTTGATGTTGTATAGGAATACCAAAAAAACAACAAAGACATCGTCATCGAAGGCACCAAGATACAAACCATCTACATCTACAAGTGTGAGAACAGCACCATTCAGGTCAAGAACAAGGTCAATTCCATTACCTTGGGTAAGCCGGCGCTTTGCTGAAGCAGTGAAAAAATGCACTTTATGAATGATCTACCATTTGTAAAAAGGGGTGCTGAAATAGGAGGTAAAAACTGGAAAAGGGGTGGGGCGTATATTTACCCATCTGGATGAAAATAATCTGCCTTTGGAGTGATTGAAAGCAGAAGAACATTAGACATTCCTCTTAATTTAAAAAGGAGGGAGGCATGCCAGCCCACTCCACCCCTCCCCCTCCCGGTCCACCGTTGTTCATCCATATTCATAATAATGATAATGATGATTTATAGAGCGCACAGATCCACCAAGGTGCTCAAGGTGCTCTTCATAATTGAGCCAATGCCACCTGGCTATTTTATTTATAATAAGTTTGAATTTCTAACAGTTACAGTGAACTTGAGAACTGTGACTATAGTTAACGTCTCAACAGCCAGTGGATTTCTCTACTGTCTGATTCTTTTATTGGTGATGAAGACTTTATTAGATTTATTGCATAAAGTACGCGTACACTATGAGCATTTGGACAACAGTAATTTGGTATCTGCTCTGCATTTCAGAGGAGATGCCAGTGGCATTGTCTTTCTCCACTTCTCGGGGTTGCATCGTGCGTTTGGGTTGTGGTCACTGGTTTATATGGTGTTTCAGGATTCATGGTTTTGATCTACATGTAGCAGCCCCCAAACAAAGATATTGACAAAGGCCAATGCAAGGCCGAGTAGCTTGGTTGGTCGAACACTAGTACGGTGTTCCAGAGGTCACAAGTTCAAATTGCCCTCTAGTTAATTTCCTTGACAGTCTTTTTAAACAAGACTAAAAAAGATTACCAGCCAGAATGCTGTACGGTGCATACTTCGTGTACTGGTTCTCTTCAACTGGTTCTCACACAGCTTGTCAGCAGTATTTTTCTGGTTTCTTCTTTGTGAAATTGAGCCCTGTGAACTAGTGTTGGGCGGTTCCAGAATTCTTAGAGTTGGTTCCGGCTCCAGGTAAGGACCGCGATTCCCAGTTAGAACCAGCTCCCAAAGATATAAAGAAAAACATAAGGTTTAAAAAAACACATTAAAAATCTGTTGCTGCCACATCACGCCGGTGCCACTCACGAATGGCACAACGATTGCCTTTTGGTCTTTAGGGGGCTTTAAGATTATCCCTAGTGGGTATTTGAATTTTATTTTTGCCTCTTCATAGACTAGTCATGGTTGGAGTAAATCTGCATCATGTATGTACAACCATGATACAACTCAGTACTGCTTCCTCCTGCACTAGTTTCCACTCTACGTCCATGTATAAAAATCCTCCAATCACAACAACCACCGATTCACCATTGCAAGTACATGGAACTTTACCTGTAATACAAATGGAATCATTGACCATGCCTCGGAACTTTATGGACTGGATCACGTGTACTCATTGAACATGTGCC